TTTGCCATGTTGCCCAGGCTGGTCTCAAACTCCTGGGCTCAAGTGATCCTCCTGCCGCAGCCTCCCAAAGTGTTAGGATTACAGGTGTGAGCTACCATGACTGTCCTTTTTCCTTTTATAGATGGGGAAATTGCAGCCCCAGAAGGAGGAAGAGAGAATAAATGTGTGGCCTCATTCACAAAACCCCAGAATAGGAAATCTTGGCCTGGTACAGGAGAAGTAAATGGGTGAATTTAAATATGAAGTAAAAGAGGTAAACTTAGGATAATTTTTTAAAGACTTTGATGTAAAGGGTAGAAAAAGAACAGATTATTTCACTTGGTATGTACCAAGATACAACAAGTAAGGTCAAGATGAACATTATAACCAAGGAAACACTATGTCTTATAAACTGTAAGATTGGTCACCATGTTCATCAACCCACAGAGATGTAGGCACCCTGAGGGCAGGACAGAGTCTCGCTCGCTCTTCTCGGTGAGCACATTACCCCGCCCTCTTCAGTAACATGCACACAGTCAGCACTTGCTGAATACTAGTGAGTGATGGCCTGCTACAGGGGCTCTCGGTTCCACTGGCCAATCTGCCATCCTGCAGATGGCAGCAGGTCTGCCACGGCGGGAGCTCCTGTAGTCAGCATGTTCACTGTCCACGGTTGGACAGAGTCCTCCCACTCCGCTTGACAGAGTGCAAGCGTCCTTAGGAAAGTTTCTGACCCTTGTGTTTCTGGTACCATAGCTTCAGACACCTTTCCTCTTCCCAGAGGGGGAAAAGAAAGAGCTCCTCTTGGAGGGCTTGGCTACACAGCCAGTGCAAAGGTTTCTTGTTCTTGGCTGATCCAGCTTTGTGGAAAGTGAGGTTTTTGTACCTGAACACTGCCACTGACCCTTAGTTCAGAAGATGGCAAGCCTTGAAAACAGCAGAGCAGGGGGTGGTCAGCCACAGAAGGGTGGTGGTCGGCCACAGTGGGTGGTTGGCCACAGGCAGTGGTGATCTAGCATGAGGCTTGGGGGTCAGCTACGGGGCGGGTGAGGGTGTCAGCCATGGTGGGCTATGCCTGAGACGGGGTGATGGGGTGGCCAAGGCAGCACTCAAGCCATCCGTTAGGAAGCAGCAAGATCTGGCTCTGGTTCTCTCCTGGCTCCTCTTAGATCTTGAGGCTGATGCCTTCTTTTTTTTTTTTTTTTTGAGATGGAGTCTCGCTCTGTCGCCCAGGCTGGAGTGCAGTGACCGATCTTGGCTCACTGCAAGTTCCGTCTCCCGGGTTTACACCATTCTCCTGCCTCAGCCTCCTAAGTAGCTGGGACTACAGGCGCCCGCCACCTCGCCCAGCTAGATTTTTTGTATTTTTTAGTAGAGACGGGGTTTCACCGTGTTAGCCAGGATGGTCTCGATCTCCTAACCTCATGATCCGCCCGTCTCGGCCTCCCAAAGTGCTGGGATTACAGGCTTGAGCCACCGCGCCCGGCCCTGGATATTTTCTTAAATGGTAAAAATAAATACATACAAAAAAGTAAAATGGTAACAATGACAGCTACAGCTACAGTAAACCTCAAATACAGCCCAGCTCCTATCCAAATTAATATAAAGCCTCATATTAAAAGCCTAGTTACCAGCTGGGCATGGTGGCTCATGCCTGTAATCCCAGCACTTTGAGAGGCTGAGGCGAGCAGATCACTGACACCAGGAGTTCAAAACCAGCCTGGACAACATGGCGAAACCCCATCTCTACTAAAAACAGAAAAATTAGCCGAGTGTGATGGTGCACACCTATAATTCCAGCTATTTGGGAGGCTGAGGCAGGAGAATTGCTTGAACCTGGGAGGCAGAGGTTGCAGTGAGCCAAAATTGTGCCACTGCACTCCAGCTGTGGACACAGAGCAAGACTGTCTCAAAAAAAAAAGCCTAATTACCTATTACCTGATGCATCATGTCTGTCTTTCAACCAAAAAATTATAAAGCATGCTAAAAGGTTAGAAAAAAACATAATCTGAAGAAAAAAAAAAGTTCAAAAAAAAAAAATGTTCAGTATACTAGAAATAGAGGGGAACTTCAATCAGATACAGAAGATCTACAAAAAACCTGCATCATACTTAATGAGAGACTATATGCTTTCACCCTAGGTCAGGAGCAAGGCAAAGATGTTTGCTCTCATGTTCCTATTTAATATCATACCAGAGTCCTAGCTATTAAGACCAGATAAGGAAATGCAGCTTTAAACAGATTGGGAAGGAGGAATAAAACTGTCTTTGTTCACGGTCAACATGATTGTCTGTATAGAAACACATACAAAAAGTCTCCTGAAACTAATAAACAATCACAGGAAGATCACAGGATAGGAGGTTAATGTACAAAAGTCAATTGCTTTCTTATATACCAGCAATGAACAATTGGAATTTGGAATTTTTATTTTTATTTTTTTTGAGACGGAGTCTCGCTCTGTCGCCCAGGCTGGAATGCAGTGGCCGGATCTCAGCTCACTGCCTGTAGTCCCAGCTCATACTCGGGGGTGAGGCAGGAGAAAATGGCGTAACCCCAGAGAGGCGGAGCTTGCAG